AAGAGGGGGAGGCCTTCAACGAGATGGATTGATACAGTGGCTGCGATGATGGTTTCAAGTATAGCAGGGATTGTGGGGCTGGCGCGGGATTGGGCAGTGTTTCGTTCTGCTGTGCATGGGGTCGCTATGAGTCAGAAATGACTCGACGGCACTTAACAACAACAACAGTAACAACTGGGAGCTGGCATGCAAGAGTCAGGACCATGACTCTTAAGTATCTTAAATAGTATTTCAGGAAATAGATAAATATAGCCAACCTTGATGTAGTATAAAAAATGCTTACTACTAATGTGACATAGGGCTATGGGAGAAAAATAGAAGAAGCTTTCATTCGATTTAGGGGGATTTTGGAAAAATATTTTCCTTTTTATCCCACCTCTACCTCTAAAGAAAAAAAAAGGGAACCATCCCCTTTTAAACTGAGTTTTCTAATTAAAGAATAATAGAACCCTCTTTTAAAGATATTTTTGATATCTTTATCAAAGATAAGTATCTTTTGATATCTTCAACAAAGAAGAAAAAAAACAAAAGTCCTTGGTGACGTATTGATAGGTTTCCTGCCACTCACTTTTTTGCTTTACCTGTTGTTTTGCTTTCAATGCATTGGCCTTTGATTTTCAAATTTGCTGTTTATTGGGTTGGGAATGTAGATTTTCCTTTAAGAACTCCTTGAATGACGATAGGTTAAGGGATAACTGTCTCTTAGACACTTCAGTTAGACTCATCTTGTCTCCCAAGTGTGCATTTCCTTTTGGATATTTGACCCTCCTTTGAAAACAGGTGGGCATCAGAGTTGTATCCTTTCACCACATTTATTCAATCTGTATGCTGAGTAAATAATCTGAGAAGCTGGAGTATATGAAGAAGAACCTGGCGTTAGGCTTGGAGGAAGACTCATTACCACATCTGTGATATGTAGATGATACCACCTTGCTTTCTGAAAGAGGAGAGGAGTTAAAACACTTAATGGTGAAGGTCAAAGACTAAAGTCTTCAGTATGGATCAACATAAAGAAAACATAAAAAATCCTCACACCTGGACCAAAAATCAACATCAGGATAAACGGAGAAAATACTATAATTGTAAAGAATTTCATTTTACGTGGATTCACAATCAATGCCCATGGAAGGAGCAGTCAAGAAATAAAATGATGTCAGGTCAGTGAATAGAGGTATACTCTAGACCAAGGATAGACTCAGCTGAGCCTAATCTTGTACAGACACCAGTGATACAAAATACCTGCAGTCCTTACAGAAACAATAGAAGACAGACACAGAGTAATCCCTCACAGACATCCCAACACTATGGGAGAGATATAATAGATCTACTACCTCAGGACCATAGTACTGGGGGACACCAGACTAAATTGGCACAACAAAATACATAAAAGTGTTGCTCCACATCCTACATTGGTGAGTAGTGACTGAGGTCTTAAAAGCTTTCAAGCAGCCATCTAAGATGCAGATAATAGTCTCCTAGTG